CCAGTCGTCGACAGGTTCACAAGTAAGAAAGATACACAAAGTTTTGTCAATACCATTTATGTAAATATGAAACCGGAATTTTCCCATAGATTGCCTCAACTGTCCGTGGGAGTGAATTTATGGAGAACTCAGGTTAATCCCGATTGGGTATCGACATATATAAAACATTTTCGAAATGAAAAGGGAGAATTTGAATACTTAGTCCATATCAAGTTTTGATTTTCCCCTTTAATAAGAGAGAAATAGTTTAGGGAGAGGAATCGTGGAAGCATAGTAATCTTATCTTTGCAATTCTTCTTATCGGACACCCAATACTGATCGAGGCCTTAATCGTTTTCAAGAAAGAATTAAACCCTTCAAGATTGACGTACAAATATTTCTCATTTGAAATTCTCTACAGATTTCTATAAGTGGAAGCAATTATATTAAGATTTTGTTAAAGTTTGCCTTCATCATCTCTTTTCATTAAATAATGCACAGCAAAAATATCTAACTAAGATATAGTAGTGACGGTATTTAAGATTCGTTCTAAAGGGAATATAAGTTCTTTAGTTGTTTGTTTGCATATTTCTTTCTATTCCTTTCTCTGTAGCCTTTTTCTTTGTTTAATTAGGCTAATTATATATATATATATATAGTATCTGCTTAAAGCCTGGCTTTTTTGTTTTTTTTTTTTTCTTAATACCTTTTTGTTGAATTTCTATTCTCTTTTATTGTCTATTCAGTAGTGTTTCATTTCATTTTCATCCGTTGTGGACACTTGCGGCCTTGTAATCACTATTAAGTGGGGTTAACTTGTTAATTTATTGCCTTCCGGGCGACAATTTAATTTCAGTTAAACGTCTGTTGTTGAATTAAAATGCATGATTTGCTATTTAAGTATTTCTCTGTTATTTCTCATTATACTTTAGAAGAAGTGCACAAATGGTTTTTTAATCATCTCCTGCTTGCTTGAAAATGAAAATTAAAAAAAAAATTCATTTATTCGGGAATAACGAACAATTTCAAGATGACGAAGTAATACACACACACACATATATATATACATATATATATATATATACATGTAGGTATACAATGGTTTGTAAAAATGCACATATATTTGACTTGAAGTGAATTTTTTACAAAAATTGCTTGAATATAAATGAAATGTAAACTTGTTAGGACAGTCAAAAGAAAAAACGAAAAGAAAAAAAAATGCGTAGTTGCAAGGCTGCTCTGCTTTTCATTTTAGTATTAAGTTAAAGAAAATATCACCAAAGGTTAAGAAGCATATCAAATTTCTCAACTCTTGAACGCAATGCGGTTAGAAATATAAAGAAAGAGATGAGAAGATTAGACTCCTTTCCTCTCGTCTTTGGATATTATGTTACCCCAAAACTTTATGGTATCACATGTAGATAATAATGCAAACGGCTAAAGTATATCGCATCCCGTCTGACTTAAACGTTGAATTTTAATGCAAAGACATACAAGGACACCTCCATAAAATTTGATTAAAGCACAATACGAATAAAAATGAACCGAGAACATGTAATCACTAGAATCGGATTAGTTTGCTTTTATTCATTTTCACTACAAAACCCTTTAGTTTTAGATTGAAATTTCACATAAGACAATTGGAGCCGATTACTAGGAATCGCGGTAATGGAAAATTTCAATTTAATTTAAAATTTTAAAAATGAAAGTCAGTAAATTCGTAGGATTATAAATCAAAAAGAATTATACATTGGCAAAGATGGCAAAGGTACGAACATGATATTCCTTCTCACTTTTATAGACACACAATAGCTTTTACTACACAGCAAAGCAAATATTTTTATGGACATCAAAAGTACCTGCGATTATTAATTCAAACAGTTATTATTAGCGGCATGGCTTCAATTTGTCAATTTACTACTCTCCTATCTCTATACGCGATAGATGCAATCGATGCAATAGGTGGACGGATGGACATACGATTTAATATTAATTAAGTATACGTGTAGTGAGCATTTCATTCGTTGCATCGAATATTACAATCGGTATCGCGAATTCATTTTTCATGTCGTTCATATCGTTAGCGATTAGAAAAATGATATCAAAAATTGTAAGAGAGAAGAGCTTTCAAAGTTGAATAACGCCTTCCGTCATCATCTAACCTAATTTAAACATATCCTTTGGTCTCCGCTTAACATTTTAACATGTCCTATGCTGATTTCACTAAATTGGCTGATTTGTTATTTCTTTTTATTTGTACGCAAACGAACGAAAGTTGAACATTATTAAATGTTGTCGCACAATTTACTGAGTTTTATTGTTATACATTGCCGGCTAATATCTTTTGTAACTTCTTTTCGACAATCTTGTGTATCCGTTCGTTCATCGTTTATGTTCTGCCATATCATAGAAATCCTGCCTGTCATTGTCCTCGTTGTCATCGTCGTCGTCGTCGTCGTCGTCGTCTTTTATTATTTGTTGGAAATATTGTTAGTGCACTACGTATATTCATCGTTATATATATATGCTTGCGCGCTAATACTCAACAATTTTTTACATATTCTCGTTGCAGCTTACGTCGAGAGGTTAGTTTAGTTTGTAGAGCAGCCGGCTGTTTGCGCTAGCAGGCAAACAGGCGCTTAGATGAAATTTGTATGATTCCATTTTTGCCACTGACACAATTTATATCCTATGCATATATTTCTTTTGCTTATCACACTGTAAAGATGTCGTCATTTGTGGTTTGTGGCGTTTGCATTAGACAACCAGCACCAGTAGTAGTAGCACTAGCAGTAGCAGTAGCAACGGCAGCAGCAGCAGCGAGCATATTATTTGTTGTCTTAATGTTGCATCTTCCTCCGCTTACTGAGAGAGAGCCAAAATGCTTTGTTTTCTTTCATTTCCCTTCGCGTTTCTCTATCTTACAATGTGAACCATCCTCGCTCCTACACTATTATATGGTTAGCATAATGCCAAAGTTGTTTGTCTCTATGCAAGCAAGCAAGCTCAAGGATTTTTTTTTACGCTTTTATATTCATTTGTGCTTTTTTTTTCTCTTCTTCTTCTTCTTCTTTTTTATTATATTTCCTGTGTGATAAATGTCGGCAATTAAGTTTTACATTTTGTCGCACAAAACATCAATGTAACCGCATAGCTGAGTAGTAGAAATTCGCGCATTTTCTTTCTCTATTTTCTTTATCTCTTCTTTCTTCGGCATACATTTATCTATTACGTTTATCATGTTGCTTGCAACATTTTAAAATAAAACCATCCAACTATTTACTTAATGGAGGAATTCTCATATTAAGGTTAATTTTTGGAAAGAATCCACCTACCCATGTTAGTCTAATCGGCTTTTTTCCTGTTAGAACCACTGAAATACTGAAATTTCTGGGCAAGATGTTTAGAATAAGTGAAGAAAGGAAAAAGCGTTAAAGCAACTTTTTGAATTTCTCAGGAGGAAAATAAAAGTTTTCCAATATGACCGATCACTCAAAGCATGCCCTTTAAGGTTGTATCACAAAATAGCGGCGAAAGATTAAAAGATAAGGAAATGTTCGTAGCGTAGCCTGGTGGTGGGTGTGTGGTCAAATCATCATTGGTCTACCCGCAATTAGACTTGAACCCGCGAATGCCGAGACTTGGTAGTTGCGACTCTTATTCGCACGGCTATGCGGCAGCCCCAACTTTTAGGTAAAAGTTAGTAAGGGCTCTGTGTATCTATAGAACTTGCTCTATATAAAACGAGTGTAGGTGTTTTTTTTTTTTGTTAGATGCTATAAGTAATACTGTACTTGTGAGGCGCAGCGAATTAAAAAGACCCCATAACTGACGGTGAGATTCAGGGCCAATTTTGACCTGTGCCTCCTATCGAATTAAATTATGTAGTAATTGAAGTAATCAAAGTAAATGAGGCAATAAACGAAATCTAAAAAATATTTATTAAGAAAACATTTCAAAGTAGAAATGAAAAATGATCCCAACTAAGTAATAGACTTCGAGCATAGAGTTACTAATATCAAAATATTTCAAGCAATTTTCATACTAAACTTAAAAAGGAAAGGTATACAGGATTCTCTCTATATGACTTGTATTTATTTTCCCTTATTTGTGTTTTTTTTTTGTTTTAAATCCTCTTTATGGCGCTAGTGTTAATTAGCAAAGATGTCTTTACGATAAGAAGTTCTTAGCATTTTACTACGCTTGAAATTATGAAAGTGCTATGAAGAAAATGAAAAATCTCTTAAGCTAACAGGCTCATGAAAGGAGGGATATTTTCAATAAGGAGGAATGAAGGAATGTAGAAAGTGTACACTCTTTAAGTTTGTGATGATGTTTTCAAAATTGAAATAAATATCAAAATATATATATATTATACAAACATAATTTAAATGCATTCATTTTAATTTATTTTTAATACATTTTCATCAGGGCCACAACACAAGCTTACATGCCAACATCAATGGAAATGTAATAATGTGTGATAATGTTTTACTGTTATTCACTTTTTCATATACATATATATATATATATGTGTGTGTGTGTGTGCTAGTGTTTTTGTGTGCCTGCATATACACACACATTTTAACTCTTTCATGTCAAAAAATGAAATAATTTAATTCACTTTTCACTTGTCAGTCAAGTCAACTGTAACAGCATAATAATAATGATATGTAACAGCATGTGTATGATGTGAGTTTTGGTAAAACAAAGGAAAAACAAAAAAAAAAAAAAGAAGAAATTTATATAAAAATACAAAAAAGTAAAAAAAACAAAAAACAAAAAAAAAAAGAGAGAAATTAACAACTTGTCTGACAAGTAACACGTATTGTGGTCAAAACCAACAGCACAATTCATTTAAAGCAGATAATTAAAAATCGAGAGTAGAAAGAAACCACAAAAACTTATGTTCATGCGAGGAATGCATGTGTCATTAATGTTAATCTTTTGTTTCGTTTTTTTTTCTTTACGTCTCTTTCTTTCTTCTTTACTCACTCTTTCAATCACATGGTCTCATACAGTTTCGATGTTCGGGGGAGACCGTTCGAGAAGGCCTTATACTGGTCGGATTCAAATTCATTCGGACCGAGAGCGTATTTTGTAACAAACAAACAACCTGCCAAATTAACTGTTGACAATATACAACTGGATGATGAAGGAGTAAGTCTATCGTCTATCAATTATCGTCTATCGTGTATACATATGCATTAATTATTTACCTTTTATTTATTTTCCTTTATATTCACACTTTCACTTATAGGTGTACAGATGTCGCGTTGACTTCCAAAATTCACCTACTCGTAATCATAGAATTAATTTAACGGTTATTGGTAAGTTCCTCTTGTCGTGTGTCGTGTGCTCAGTATGAGTGAAACGAATTTATTTCACATTTATAATCACTATCTACAAGCGAAGAGATCTATACCAGAGCAACCAGTTTCTCTATGATATACCTCCCTTACAGCTCCCACACTATAATAATTTTGTGAATTTGTATTCAGAAATTGTATAAAATCTAAAGACTTGGCTACTGATGCAAGTAATTGACGTTAAGTTTGAAGAAGGGTTCGGTCCGCTACCAAGTATGCCTACAAAGAGGCACTACACACACTAAAAAAAGGGAAATTTCAGGGAAATTTCAAAATACTTGCAAGGCCGATAGCTAACATAAATTCATAGAGAGGCAGAGATCTTTCAGGCCAGGATACGGTACATGTATTAGGGCCTGTTCTAGGCAAAAAAAACGAAGTTTCCTATTGATAATTGAAATTTCGCGCCTACATTTTCAAGTTTGGTGCACATTTCAAGTTTAAAAATTAATCCAATCTCTGTCCTCTTGTCTTCATACATTTCCCTAGACAAGTAAAAGAATCTTTCAAAGACTATGAAAGGAAAAAATAAAAAACTAAAAAAAAAACCTATGCAATTATTCCTCTTATATCTATGTATGCGGTGATGGGTATATAAGATTCGTCTTATGGCGAACAATAACTTACTTCTCGCCTTACTTTTTCGTTTTTCTTTTTTTTTTAATTTTTTATTTTTTTTTTTTTGATAATTCTATTTACAGTTCCTCCCCATCAAATTTTAGTGTACGATGCATCCGGTCGCGATGTGGCTGGAGCGGTCGGTCCTTTATTTGAAGGCGATAACATTGTTTTAACGTGTGAAGTGCGCGGTGGTAAGTAAAATGTAGTAGTGAGAAAAATGAAAAAGTGAAAAATTCCATAAATTTTGTGCACTTTTTTTTTTATTCCAAAAACTTGGCCGTTTCCTTTTTCTCTACATGACTTGAGAACTATTTTCCGCACTTTGAAAATAATGTTCACTCATGGAGAGAGTAACAAAATAACCGCAATGATTTTTACTTTTCTTTACTTTTTCTTATTTTTTTCGGTCATTTAACCTGCAGACATATGCTCTACCGTAAATCTTAAGAAGTCCCTTAAGAAATTCACATACACACATACCCACATAAAACGAGTTGTTTGTATCTACGCTTGTGTGTGTATGTTTGCAATATAAAAATATAACACTGAAGTTGGGGGGGGAAAAAAAAAATAAAAAAAATAAAAAATAAAAATAAAATAAAACTAGAAATGAATTGAAAAATGATTGCAGCTCTTGGCATACATGTTAGCGCAACATTGTACGAAAAAATTTTTGTTAACTAGACTAGCATCAGTTAGAGACGAAACAAAAATATCCTCTATATTGCATTCTTTTATTTCAAATTTTTTTTATCTCACCATTAATGGAAAATCAGTCGAAATGATTGTTAGCTGAAGTGTTAGATCATTTCAGTTCATATTCTTTTCGAGTAAATGATTACTTGACAAATTCAAGTCCTCTCTAAATATAGATGAAATTAAGCGGCAATAAGTGCTCTAACGAAGGACATGCAAGGAAAGGGAAGGAAAGGAAAGGAATGAAACGAAACGAAAGGAACGAAGTACGAAATTAAATTAGAAAGCAGGAATTTTTCATTAATGAAAAATATCTACAACGACTTTGAATAGATGAGAATAAACCAACTCGTTTAAGACGCCTAAAGACATCTGAACAACATTTCTTTTTTTTTACAAGAACATGCAGCGGTTCTTAACAAAGCTTTTAAGACACAGACGAACTGGATTCCTCCAGCTTTTCATTTACTTAATATTTGCTTCGTTTCTGATTGCTGCGAATTATGGCGAGGGTTTTCTTAATTCATTTATATTATTCGACGATATTCTCCTCATAGTCTTCCAAAATCAGTTTCATGCCCTCAATTAGCAAACAGATCGTGATTATAAGATTTAAAGCTTCATCAAGTAACGACCTTTAACTATGATCTTAGTAATGTTTTGAAATAGAAGAATTTATCAGAGATCACAATCACACCGAGATAAGTGATTAAATTTTCTTTTTCTTATTGGCGCAATGCGAAAATTTCGATCTTGATTGATCGATCAAGATTGTTTTACTTTTATTTTAAGGTCCTCCCTCTCTCTCTCTCTCTGTCTCTGTCTCTGGAGAGGGAGAATATACAATGTAAAACGAGCTTGTATAGTAAAAAAATCTAGGTCCCCTTCATTCTTCGGAAATGATCGCGTCCAAACCAGCTAAATAGCTAAGATAACTTTTATTACTACATTTTCATGTAGTACCCAGGACTTATACTAAATTTAAAATCTATAATTGGTCACTTACCACATTGATGCCGCTAAAATCTCACGATTAAAAAAATTCCAAAATTCCGCACAAAGCCGAGTCATTATCAACCTACAAGAAAAGATGGAAGAGAAATGCAAAGTGATTAAGATGAGCAAATACTTTCTGTTTAAATTATCTAATTGCAACATATAAATTTTATATATATATATATATGTTCAACAAAAGATATAACGACTTTAATATCTACGTCTAGCAATGACTTGTAAAAATCCCTATTGTATATCCATATTGTGCACGCGATTTGTACCGCGACCCAAAAGATCTGCTGTGCTCATGCCTCAAGCCTTCCAGCTTTACATATTTTATATATGAATTCCGCCAATTTGTTTTGTTCGGAGCACCGCACCATGTCTGGCAGTGTAGAGTGTTTGCCAAGCATCGTCAAGGCGTCATAGGTTGTAACGGGACATTTCATTCGTCTCCTGTCACAATCTGCGTGTGTCCTTATCAGAGATACCTATGTTTTTTGCAGATTATACCTGGGAGAAGAAGAAGAAGCGTGTGACCGAACATAGGTCGTTCTTTCAAGAGCCTATAAATTGCAATGAATATACACTAAACTTAAATTGCTTCATTGCATTGTAGTATTTTATATATACATGTATGTATATGTGTGTGTATATGTTATATCTATGTATGCGATAAAGGAGCGTTCGTCTTCACAACTTAATAAATCATAATTTTTCTGACAACAATCCAAGGATTTTTCCCATTAATATTGTGAAAAGATTTAAAAATGTTCGAACAAAAGCTTACGCACAACCGGCAAAGCATATATGTATAGTCACATATTTTATATATATATATATATATATATATAGATATATATCTAAAAGCTTCAACTAAATGAATATCCTTTCTAGGATATGAGATAAGGAAATCTTTTGTGTTTCCCATTAGGGAATTATTGTAAGGAAAGCGCATGAATTTAACGGAATTGACGTTCATTTGTCATTATACGATAAAATCCGTCTAAAATTTCTGAATATTACGGAAGAACAAGAAGAAAGAAAAAAACTGCATTCTTATAAAAACATTTGCCATAGGAAATATCTAAAGTAGCAGAGATTTGTAGAAATTTATTTCATTCTTCTTTGCGCTTACCTACATATATATATATATATATATCTAGATAAGTATCTAGGTTAGAAGCGCGTTAAATAGAATCTAATATATGTTCAATCAGTTTGAATTTTTGTTATATAGTTTGAGTTTGAATTTTGTATTTTTTTTTTTTTTAAACTAAAACCTTTAAGTAAACATTATCGAATTTAGCCCGTGAAAGCATTTAACAGTCAGGGGGAATCACTGATATGACGATGATGTTCTCTATGGCATATTGTCCATCTACAGTTTTATTGTGCTCTGACCACAGTTTTTTATTTATTTTTTTTTTTCTCTGTTTTTTTTTTTGTTTTTTTTCTAAATATGAATGGAGAGAGAGTACGAATTGAGTTTGCACCATATCCTCTATTATATGTTTGAGTACCGGTTTACTCTCATACACTGCATGTCTTGCTAAATCGAAGCACAATTTTATGGTCGATGTGGAGATTATAATGTTTATGTGGGTTCTTCTTTCTTTTTTTTTTTTTCTCTCTTTTTTT